CAGCCACATGAGGATCGCCTTCTCCATTCCGCAGGATCGCGCGTCCGCTTACTCGGGATATCCATCTGAACCATTCCTTGCGGAGGCTGCATCACGCCAAACGTATCAGTACCTGAAAACCAACGACCGTACGATGGCGAAGCTGTTGGAGGATAATCTCGAAAAGAACCTGATCGACCTTAGTCGTAAGGGCGAGATCGTTATGTGCCTCCTTCTAAGGATGGCACACATGAGTGCCATTTGTGTCGAACAGCCTGACGAAATCCGCCGTACCGGAGCGCCGAACTTCAGCAAGAGTTACGATGTCCTCCAATTCTTGAAAGCGCTGTTTGCCGAGGGGTTCCATGGAGAGATATTGAAGTCTCAACCGGACAACCATGTACCTTCTACTCAAAGTCTTGAGGATGCTTTCAAACACGCTGTTGTTCGATTCACCCATTTTATCGAGGAGGTCGACGAGTCTGTCATGAGCACGAAGTCCATGGTTGGTGGCTTTGTGAGGGGTGCCGCATTCATATGCCGTAATAAGCAGGAATCTGTTGACATCATCATCCCTATCTTCCTGGACAAGAGGTCGTCACTGGAAGAGTCCTTGATGTCAGCGCTTCTCATACAGGTGAAGCGACAGCGGAAATGGGGCAGTTCGGCTGCACACATCATTGACCAGAAAGAGATCGGTTTCTTCCCAAACAAGGTTTCTACAGGAGAGAAAGAAGTTACCAGGCCATATATCACGCTCATGGTCGAGCTGGGTGCTAACGATCCTCCCAAGGACAAATCCTTCGTGGTTACTGGCGGGTGCTCCCCTACTCGTGCTACGTCAAAGTCCGAGGAAACACACCCGAGGTACAGTATCCAAACTTATGGGTGTACCGAGATGACGTGGAAGGTCGTCAGATCTGTCGAGAGGGACAGGTACAAGCGTATTTTGGCCACCGATGACTTTTTGGCAGATCATCCAAGACAGGACGAAGCTTCACTCAACCTCGTTCGCCAGATGTTGCCATTTATGGCATGATACAGTGATGATGCAACGCGGGACGATCACGAGAAGCCTGTATGAAAACTCGCCACGCCTTCCTTCGAGTGTCAACATGTATCCACCAACCCTCGCCCATACATGACTTCGCGTAGACCAAGACGCCGGAGCGTGTGGAGGCGTACCCTCTTCTTGAAGAACACGACGTGACTTTGATTGTGTATGTATAATATTGAGAGACGTGTAAATTCATATGTTGGGTGACGCGAGTCAGTCTACGATACATGGTTCTTTTTCTTTATTGGTGGGCTTGCCAGCAACGACGATTACCAACAGTCAGAGGCTGACCAGCCCTATTGACAACTTACTGTGGTGGTTAAGTTGCGAAATTCGATCGAGACTGGATCTCAGATATCCATTCCATTAGGATGGGCGGTGGATTGTGTCCGGAGACAATGGAAAGAAAGTGATCGTCTGGAATGCGACCTATGCGCGGCCGATATCTCGACCAGCGACTCTACTATGTAAAATTGCCTCTGTGGGCGACGACACCGCTCGGATATTCAGCATCACTTCTGGCACCCAACTCCTTCCCCCCCTTTCACACCAAGTTCTCCTCAGTCGACTTCCTGCTATCTCGGAAAGATATTCACCGAACCTTCTCCTGATCATTTGCTGTCTCGTCTGCTCACAGAGGTGGTGCAATGTCTCGAGCATGGCCTTGCCTGTATCACTTCGCTGTCCTGAAGGACTTGGATGAGACCTAGAAGAGTCTTGTCTCCGTTATCAACCCTGCAATCACGAGTAGGATCCTTGCGAGCAAGGACTGATCACTGAATGAGTTTCGCTATGGTGTCCACGGCCGACTGAAAAGCACCCGTTGGGCTGCGTAAGGTATGTAGGTCTCCATCCACGCTGGTGCCTTTTTTACAGGCTAGACACTCAACAGTGATGCACTCGACGGCTGTAGTACTACGGTAGCGCTTGAACCAAGTGGTTGTCACGGCAGCATGGGACACGGTGGGTTCACTGAAAGCAATTTCTTGACCTCATTCGCACTTGGTGGGATACAACACATGCCCATCCCAATGACGTTGGTTTGAACGACCTCGCAGAACTCGTATCCTTCCACTGTTGTAGGGTTCTGATGGTATATGGTATGGTCAGTCGCGGGATAGTCATCAGTGTCCCATTCATTGACAATTCCTACCCCCGCAGTCGTGCAACACCTCCTTCTGGAACTGCGTTAAATGCATTCTCGCTGGTGCGGAGGCTTACATACACTCCGCGTAATCGATCATCGCGTGGATTCGACGCGTTTAAACGCGACTTGAAGAAAACTTCGATCCTTCAGCTTGCCCAGGAGGGGGAACTTCTTTTTAGGACAGAGTTCAAGACATGTGGTTTGCATGACTGTCCCGTACATCGTGTGGCCGGGCATACTGCCTGTAGCTTCCGGCATAGCATGATATTTCTAACCTTAGTCTGAAATATCTTAGAAACCCTCGAAGAGTGCTTTTAGGAGCCAATCCTAAAGCTGTACTTGGTACTGGAGAACTAAAACAAGGTTACTGCGACACTCTTGCGCAAATCAACCATACTAAGGCGCCTGAGACTATGGTCTGGAGTACGTAGAGGTAGGGGCGTCTCGATGCGCTGGACTACTTGCAGCTTACGCCATCCAGAATCTCACATACTCATGGGTCCTTGTACGACTGCAATTCGGGACGATGGCAAGGAGTCGGGCCATAGGACCTGGCAGATATCAGCGATCCTGAGGTATCATCACTCTTGGTTATGTTTCTCCGAGTGGCGTTATCGAATCTCTGCCTTGCAAGCGGAATGGTGCCATTTATGCCGAAGCCGTCTGTCAGATTGAATTTACCACGGAAATTTGCTGGACGTTGTTCAGACCTTCAGGGGTAATGAATCTACCATGTAATAGTGGAGTTGAAAGCAAGATTATAAGTCTTCACATCGTTTGGGCGTAACCCAACACGTGGTGTCTCCACCTGTCCAAACCCATTTATACTGCGCTTGCGCTAACACCTCATGGTCAACAGGCGTTCTTCCGTCGCCCTATCACCTACCTTTCCCCTGCGCGGTCCTTGGGAAATACGTTGACGGCGGTGCAATGGGTGTCCAGTCGCCACTCGCTGACTTTGGAAAGCCAGTAGGAAGCGGTAGGCAACAAGAGGAAACCAAAAGATTGATCAGATCGGGGAAACTAGATGATGGGTACATCGGTTCTTTGCAGGAACCCAAGGAAGTAAGTATTGTCCAGTATTAAAAAATGCTAGGCGCCTACTGACTCACAGCCGGCATCTAACATCCAGGAGGAGGAGAAATTGGAGGAAACGATTAAGAGTCTCAGCGAGGGGTTTCGCAAGCTCAAAGCTGAGAATACCCGGCTGAGAACTTCCACACAAAACCTATTGGCAGAAAACGCCACCTTACTGGAAGCGATTCAGCAGGAACAAAAGGAGAACACTGCTCTCCGGCAAGCCCTTCAGAAGGCAGAGGAAGAAAGGTTGGCCGCACAACGTTCGTTAAACAGGGCGCGGGAGCGGGAAGAAGAAGTGCGCGCCACTGATCAGCAAGCGCGGACAGAGGCGGATGCTCTAAGACGTCAATTATCGACTAAGGAGTTGGAAATCCAAGCAATTAAGAGGGAGCTTCACAACAAAGGTACAGAATCACCCAAGGTTGTTGGATCAATGCAGGAATATCAACCTAAGATGGCCACCGAGGGTGACGTCTGTTCGCTCGTGACAGCCCTGAACACAGAAATCACCGAGACGTGTATGGCCATTGTGCATTCTGAATCCTTCGCGTTTGGACGGAAACCTATGGAAAACATTGAGGATGGATACCTCGCTCGTATGAGTAGTTGCTTCTCGAAATGCTCTGTGATGGGCTGGCTCCGTGAGCAACAAATCATCAAGGATCCCACGGTACTGGAGATAGTGCTGCAGGAGGCACTTGTAGCGGTATCGTCCTGGATTATCTCAGAACGTGATCCAGATCTCGAAGGCATTGAGCCTACAGGTAGGAAAGCAAGTTTGCTGTAAGCATGGCTGGTACATCTGATCTTTTGCTTTCAGAGACTAGGCTCATCCGGACCTGTGATGATCCATGGCGTAGCTGGGCGCACATTCTTGCTAGGGGGCTTCCATGCAATGCCTTGCGCTCCACACTGCAATGGAGCATCTCCAGAGTCCTCTTCTTGGTCGTGATGAGAAGCGCCGGATATGTCTCCGATCATACAGTTGTTCGCGAATTCAACCTCAAGGCAAATGGGCACCTCACCAAAATCATTGACCTGGCTTTACAACTCAATGCGATCCTCAGGAGGGGAGGTGTAAGGGGGCTATGGCTGCTACGAGGTGTTCCCGGGGAACAATTTGACTCCGACATGATGGATAACTTCGCGGGTCTTGAAGAGGCTGACCAGATAGATGGCACCATCATATTCAGCACAACTGCTCTTGGATTGTGCAGAATTGACATCAAGCCCGAAATATACACCGCCGGACTCCATTATGATCCAATCATAAAACCCAAGGTAGTTCTAAAGTCCTTCCTTGATAGTTTGCGGCCGGAGGGCGAGGACTCTGATGACATTTGGGGCGACTTGGCGACAGGCGAGGATCTGGACGAGTACGCGGGTGATGATTTTGACGCCGACTCTACAAGGAGTTGAGTTCGCAGTATTATAATTTCACATCTTCATCTTTACGTTTTCACTCTTTTTCAACGTTACGACTCATGTCTGCTGCATACTCTTTGTGTTCCGTAGGCATACAGCTAAGTCACACCCACGCATCTGAGTCAATTCGGTGTTTTATGCCTCTTCCTACTTGGATCGGTTCTCACTGCTACACGCGTACTGTAGTCGGTTTTAACATTACTAGTGCGTACCGTGGTTTGTATGACTCCTTTGATCGACAATCTTGCCATGGTCTTTTTGCCTGCATCTAACCGATGTAATGGTAATACCTCTTCTAACACGAAGCAGACATCTCTGGTAGTATATCGGATAGTACACCCGCCTGTCATCATCATCATCGCGAGAGAGGACCGCGGGAGAGCGGGGTTCGACTCCCCGCCAGAGAGTTTTTTTTGGGCAAGGACAAGCCCGCAGGACATATCTCAATTTGCTCTAGCAAATAATGATATCCACCCAAACTGTCGGCAGTATTCAAGGTATGCATTACAAGCTATAAACTGACTTATACATGTACATTACGAGTAAGCTTACTGTACCCTCCAATCGATAAAGATCTCACTCATAGCCCATCCTTCCAGCCTCCGCAACAACCAATACTCCTAGTTGATACTTAACCCTACCAGAAGAGGACACGATGCGAACGTTCCAGACGTCCTAAACCCTCCGAAAGCCACTTCCCACAAATTCGCTGCTTCACAACGAAGCCCGCATCATAGCTCCCGCCGCGACCGCCACATGACTGACCAGCACATCATACAGCGCCTCCGCGAGTTCTCTCGGCGTTTCCTGAGGCACCTGTTCAATGGGGAAAGCGTATGCATGAGCACTAGTCAACTTCGTTATGAGGGATGAGGGAACGAGGCATTGAGGAGGCAACGGTGACCGAGGTGGGGAAGGAAACGTAAAGGGACTTACGAGATGGCCCGAGCCAGGGACAACGCGATCGGTTTGGACGCGTCGAGAGGCGGCGTCAAGGATGGCCGCTCTGGAAGATTTGGATCTACAGGGCAAGACAGAAAAGTATGCTGATTTCACGCACACTCCGCAATCATGGAAAGAAAAGCACGCACATATACTCCTCTGACTCTGCCCACATCATATGTACTCCGCCACCGCCTCCTGGGCCCAAAGCTGTGCACATATGCGTAAGGTGCGCAGGTTCGATCGTATGCTGCGAATGCGCATACAGCGACGATTCCTCCTCCTTGCGAGTCATGGATCGCACATAGGTTCTCGATTTGGTTGTCGCCATGGTCAAATCTGCAGACTGTTGAAGTGACGGTGTTGGCTCACAGACATCCTCGAGTGCATATTCCTGGGTGGAAGGCGTGTTAGTGCGATTGCCAAGGTTTGGTAAGTGTGGTTCCCAGCTACGTGGGATACGACAGCATACCACAAACAAATCCAGCGTTTGGTCATTCCATTTTGACCACAAAGTCTCCCCTCGCGCCTTACCATTACCAATTGTGTTCTTGTTCCCATTCTCGACTTTGCGACTTTGACGCTCCGTCTGTTTCACACCGCCATTGATATCGATATCCCTCTGCTTTTCAAGACTGTTCCCCTGGATACCTAATAACCAACGCTTTGCTTCGGCACGATTCAACCACTTGTCTTGCTTCGCCAGTGCCCCGCGCATATTGGCGGCGCTATGTACGACTCGAGGGTCGGTAGACGACATACCAGGAAACACGAGGACCGGCTCGATGAATATAAGTGCAAAGGGGTGTGGATGGGCGTGTTCGAGGAGCGTGAATGCGTGTGTCCTACGTAGGTAGTTGATGCGCCGGAGGGAAACGAGTCAGGGATGAAGCGACATGTAAGAGAATGTATGGAACATACCATGGCGTACTGCTTCCTGAATGTGCGATACCAACGACTCGGTGACCTCGCAGTTGTGGTACAGATAGAAATGCGCTGAGATAACTAGAAAAGTCCATCGTCGCTGTTCATTATCACAGTCAGGTACAGGATTGACGTGCTACATATCAGGGCGATGACAGAAGGGGATACGCACTGCATTTTCCGTCCCAGCCCTCTTTCCGCCCCCTCTCCTGTCGATCCTCCAGATAGGCACGGTTTAAAACCGCACTTTCGCCGTGGTTGGGCATGTCGATCGACCATATTTCCTTAATCATGTTGACATAGCGAGCGCGAGTAGCGTTCAACCGCAGGAGGTGTGCAATCGTAGGGTGGTAACTCTCCTTGTCTGCACCATGGGGTCAGGCACATACGACCAGAATGTTTGGAGGGGGATACGTACGACTAGATAGTCCATGGGTCAGCACTAATGTCAACCCTTCTTTGCTCTTCGAGACTGGATATCTCAGTGCGGCACACTGTACTGTGACGTCCTCTTTACTCGGTATGTTGTCTTTCAACGCGTCTCCGACGCACAGACCAAACGTGGTTCGTAGTGAAAAGACGTGTTTCTCGGGGGTGATATTTTCCTTTCTTTCCGGGGGATTCGGATATGACTGCATCATCAGTGAGAACGTCCAACTGGGAAATATGAAAGAGCCGTTTGCAGGTTGGTATGGGTGCTCGAGTCTAACGAGGCAACAAAGGAACCCATGAATTTTATGGTCCATCGCAGGCGTTTAATTGTCGCCACGCTAATGATAAGTGACCCCCGATGCCTACGAAGCGCTCATGATTAGCGCGAAACGGCAGATGAAAAGGGATGTGATGTCCCAGTTATTATTAGGCCTTGCTACGGCAGGCTAGAAGAATCAGGCTGTGATTGGAGAGGGTAATAAGGTCGCTTTGGGGTGGATGGTGAGCGAGGGCAACAAGTCGAATCAATCGGGATGACGTTTGACTACTGCATCATCACCTCTTGATCCGTTTCCGTTGGATGCGACAGTAGACGATCACCCAGATAGAGATTTGAAACACAATAGCGGATCGGAAGTAGGTCTCGACTGACGGCTATCGATCGAAGTGAGTATTTTCGGCGCTGCAGCAGGTCAGCGTTTGCACGGTACAAATTTTGTCGGGCTTGAACTAAGATGCCGCACCTTGCGCCCTAACTATACACGTAGACGACAACTTAGAGAGAGACCGTATATACCGGGGTTCTACGACATAAACTACCGAGGCGGTAACGGAAATCGTCCTTGCGCCGGGTTTCAGGCCTGCTTGAGACAATCGCACGTCTGGGTCAGTCGAGGCAGCCGACACACTGCAGAAACCTACCAAGTCCTCCGCCGATGACACCTAAGATAAGAAAGCAGAAGGTGAGGCTATTGTCTTCCGCAAAGTTGCAATAAATAATCTCCGATTCCGAGTCGGATGCTGGCGAAGCGTAAGTGCCATCAAGGGCCTCTGAATCCAAATCTAGGTTCCTTCGTCGGGAGGAACAGGAAGCGATTAAGTTACGGGATTGATACTCGGAGACGCACCTACCGACGCTCCGGTCAGGGATAAAAATACCAAGTTACATGACTGCGCTGCGCACCGGAGGAGTGAGAGCAGGATCACGTGGTCGCGGAATAGTCATTTGACTCGAGTTTCGGTCTTTCTGCGAGAGTTGTCGTCGGTTGGAATCGCCTCCTCACGTCGAATGAACATTCAGACACTGTGTGTATCCCTGCCAGTAACAGTTACTGGTACGGCCACACACAAGGTTTGAAGGTTTTACTTTTAAAAGTTCCTTGCTATTACCACTCCCCACACATGGTCAATACACCTGGAATATCGAGATGTTTAATTCGAACGATCCTTACCGGGTGTACAACAATATATGGCAGACCTAGATCTCATGCTCAGATGCCAACGCAGAACAGCAGGTGCGTCTCTGATTCGTCTTATGCAACTGCTCACATCTCCTGCTCTGTGCTCACTGCCACATTCAGCCAGACTCCTTGGACGTCCGTGTTTTATACGTCAACGAACCCGATGTCGACTGTCGTCTCGCATCTCAGAGGGGACACCCAAGGATCAGATATTTGCCCATTTGAGACGGTCGACGTGTGTGATCCTAGAACGATGTTCGTGTAGTGTATTACACTTTACAATGGTGACGTGCATACATAACAAACTTTCCTATGGATCCTACTAGCAGTGTCTCATGTCTCATCCAATTTCAGCAGACCAAATTTGACAGAATCCCACCTGATCCGACACAGTTTTACTGACCTTGAAGAGGCAATTTCGTTGTTCAAGTAGTCATGTCGCGGTCGTTCGACATCAAACTGCTGCCTGGGGCTTTTTATAATCCTGCAGCGCTTGTTGCAAGTCCTGCACACGGGCTGCGTGCGCGTTGCACACTTCCTGAAAATGTCTGTGTGCTTCCTCAAGTTTTTTGATGGATTCCTCGCGGGCCCTGCGTTCTTCCTCGTGATCCCTGAGCAGCCCCCGGAGCTCTCTGTTCAATTCCTCGAGCTTTCGTATGCCCACCTGTTGATGGTGCATCAAGATGCATTCACTGAGTCATCGGACTAATCGACAAGGTACGCACCACCCGTATCGCGTGTCTCTGCACGAGCTCTTCCCAGCTCCTCTCATACATCTGGCAGACCGAGTGGAGATCGTGCAAATCGAAGGTTTGGACTTTCAAGCTGCTGCGATCACCGGTGGGGTGGCGATAACGGTGCTCTTCACCCCCTGGAAAGAGTTCTTTGCTGGCCTCGAACACCGTGTGCAAGAAACAATGGCAGTCGTGCACGTAGGGATGGCTGTCCAAGTAACATTGGTGGACGACCGAAACAAGGGCTGAGAGCTGAATGGCAAAAGGAGGCTGAGGACTGCCTGATGGTGTGTATTCGAGAGCACGAAGCACTTCATATTTGCCATAGGTCTTAGCGAACCAAGCTGTTGGATTCTCCCTCTGGCTGAGAATGTACACGTAGTCGACGGCCTGCGTCGCTGGGCAGCCAGGAACACTCGGAGACACTTGGCAGTCCTCTATGATAGTACGCTCTACGATGACTGTCGCACGGGCAGACTGCTGAACATGATGGGAGAAATGGAGAACGAGAAACTCGCGCAAGTTGTTTCGCCCTCACCTGCAGAACTCTATGCGCTCCAGCTTGCATGAACTGGCCTTCTCCCAGTTAAGGTATGCCAAGTATCGGCAATGATCTTGGAGTGACCCAATTTAAAAAGACCTCCTACGTCGGTTGGACCCCCGGAAGGTTGAGACATCCATTGATGAATTAATGTGACGAGATGGCGAGGAACATTGGAGAGCCACTTCATGGTGGGTCGACATGGGTTCAGTGTCAAATCCTTTGCAGAGGTGAACCTCTCCAAAAGTTAGGGGACAACGACGAATAGGGAGGAAATGCATTACATAATCAGGACACCTCTTTCGTGGAGACCCAGCTCTGCGGCAAGCTTGACGTCTGCTTGCTTGTTCTTCCCACTAAGCGGGGCTCATAAC